AAATTAACAATAGCTTTGACTTAGTTAACAATCTTTCATTTAGACATTTCGAGGAACATCATAAACTGGTTTCTCTGGATGTTATTTCTTTATTTACTAATATTCCTCTTCATCTAGCATTAACTTCGGTTGACAAACTTGGCATTAGGGAGCGTTCCGATTGACCACGGTACGATTGAACATAACCAATCGATGAAAAGAATTATCTAGTGAATTACTAGGTCGAACCAATCATTACAAATTATGTCTAATCGTACCGTAGTCAATCGAAACCCACTCGTTAATGCATCTTTCAGTGTCCTACGGTGTGCAACTTTTCGTGTCCAAATGAGCGGTGTGCAACTTTTCGTGTCCAAATGAGCGGTGTGCAACTTTTCGTGTCCAAATGAGCGGTGTGCAACTTTTCGTGTCCAAATGAGCGGTGTGCAACTTTTCGTGTCCAAATGAGCGGTGTGCAACTTTTCGTGTCCAAATGAGCGGTGTGCAACTTTTCGTGTCCAAATGAGCGGTGTGCAACTTTTCGTGTCCAAATGAGCGGTGTGCAACTTTTCGTGTCCAAATGAGCGGTGTGCAACTTTTCGTGTCCAAATGAGCGGTGTGCAACTTTTCGTGTCCAAATGAGCGGTGTGCAACTTTTCGTGTCCAAATGAGCGGTGTGCAACTTTTCGTGTCCAAATGACCGGTGTGCAACTTTTCGTGTCCAAATGAGCAATGTGCATCTTTCGGTGTCCAAATGAGCAGTGTGCAACTTTTCGTGTCCAAATGACCGGTGTACAACTTTCGGTGTCCAAATGAGCAATGTGCAACTTTTCGTGTCCAAATGAGCGGTGCGCAATTTTCGGTGTACAACTTTTCGTGTCCAAATGAGCGGTGTGCAACTTTTCGTGTCCAAATGAGCGGTGTGCAACTTTTCGTATCCAAATGACCGGTGTGCAACTTTCGGTGTCCAAATGAATGGTGCGCATTTTTCTCGTGTCCAAATGCACTGAATCCAAATTCATCGTGTCCAATTGCACCGTGTCCAATTGAACCGTAGGCAAAATTTTGTGTCTAATTGCAATGTGTCCATTTGCTCCGTGTCCAATTGTACCGTGTCCAAGTGAGTGCCACTCGGTTTATGATACCAGTCGAAAATAATTGTGTTATTACGTATTAAAAAAGTGGTGTCTAAAAAGTTAATACTGTCATCTCCTATTTCAATTGTGAACTGCAGCCGAGGATGAAACGAATTAAAAATGCGCAATATGTTATCTAAAAACTTCTTAGGAGCCGCTAAAAGAATATCGTCAACATATCTAAAATAAAAAAGCAATGTCAGGAATCATGTTAATAGCTCTTTCTTCCAAATCCTGAAGAACTAGGTTCGCAATAATAGGGGACAATGGGGAGCCCATAGGACTACCAAAAGCTTGTTTATAAGTTTTGTTATTAAAAGTAAAAAATGTAGAATCAAGAACAAATTCCAAAGCCAACATAAACTCGTTGCGAGGAATCCCAATGGAATCGCCAATATAATGCCAAGAGTGGGTTTCGATTGACCACGGTACGATTAGACATAATTTGTAATAATTGGTTCGACCTAGTAATTCACTAGATAATTCTTTTCATCGATTGGTTATATCCAATCGTACCGTGGTCAATCGGAACGCTCCCTAATGCCAAGTTTGTCAACCGAAGTTAATGCTAGATGAAGAGGAATATTAGTAAATAAAGAAATAACATCCAGAGAAACCAGTTTATGATGTTCCTCGAAATGTCTAAATGAAAGATTGTTAACTAAGTCAAAGCTATTGTTAATTTTACTTTTAGCCGGGGGAATTTTTTTTGTAAATAATTTTATGCAAAAAAACTGCAAGATTATAAAGGGGGCTATTAATAGAAGAAATAATTATTCAACTCAACGGGTGTCCCTCCTTATGTATCATAGGTAACCCATAAGCCCTAGGAAAATTCCCCTCACCGGATTTTAAGAATCTATAAATGGCATTATTGATGTAATTTTTAACTTTCCATCTAGTTA